TACTTCTTATTTTTATTTGGCTTCATGGCAGAGATCCACCCAAAGCTTAAATTTTGCTACAGCCCAGCTTAGGTATTTCTTCATTTTTTAAATAAATCAAAACTCAAACCAGAGCACACTTTAGCCCTAAATAAGAGAGATTTGGCACTGCTTTTATGAAACTGAATCCCATTTTCAGCAAAAATTTTTTTTTTTTGATCTCAAAAGTTTTATTTTAGTAATAAAATTAAATTAAAAAAAAAATTCTAACTTCTGAATACATGCTTCTTTTTCTCTGGCAAACAAATCCCCCACCAGGGAAGTTAAAGGATTATTCTCCAGGAAGTGCAATGAATTGGTGACCGCTGGTAAATTTTTGTCTCAATGCCTTCCTGTAGAAAAAACGCATCTGGAGATGTTTTGGAACAATATAACCAAATACAGGAGATGAAAACTGTCTTTGTTACTTTGTTCTCAGCTAATTCTGATTCAGAAGACCCCCCCCCCCCCCCCGAGTCACATTCTACTTAACTAGAAGATCCGAATGTGTTAAATTTTTCTCTCTTTGAAACCTACACATCCCCTATTAAATCATACTATCATACCTACACATCCCCTATAAAAATTTCTTCTCTGTTATAATTTATAGCATCTTCTCTCTTCTCATTAGCAAAACTTTAAACATCTTCAATTTTTCATTCGTGTGTTGGAAAAAGAATGGTCTTTGTTTTGACCATTCCTTTAAGTAGTGTTTAGTTATATTGCATATTCAAGGCTTAAATTCAGCCAAAGCCCAGCTGAGCTATTTTTTTAGTTTTTTAGTGGAAATGCAATTCCTGCCAAAGCCAAAAATAAGATAGGTTCCAGTATTTTATTTTATTAATTTACTATTTACCATTCATTTAATAATTTATTAAATTTTTATTTACATTTTAAAGAATTTTAATTATTAAATTATTTTAAATGTTAATTATGCTATTTATTCCCTTCCTTCCATGACGGTCTTTCACAGGGCTCCAGCACTTCTTATTTTAGAAAGTAAGCTCTATATACATGTCAGTAGCGGTTACAAAATTTTCAGACTGTGGAAAACTTGTTAAAACTGTAATATTTTCACAGCAGTGGTTAGGTAAGGTTTTTCAAGCTGACAAAACTTGCTATCTGCCTAAGAACTGTTTATCTGGGCTATCTGTCTAAAGAGGAATGATGCCTTCGTGGATGTCTTTTTGAGAAAAAACTAGCTTGTATTCATGTTACACAAGGGGGAAACCATGCAGCCAACTCTTTCGCCAGAGATCAAACTATCAGTATTCGGCAGTTTTAACCAATCAGCTATTGGTGGGGCTGTTGAAGCAATGATGTCCATAGCATTTCTCAGTTTTAACAGAAAACAATGCCTTTTCTGTATGTGTTGTTTTTGCAGTATTTGAAGTTCTAATGGCTTTTGTAGAAAAATGAAACCCCCCTTAAACTCAATTTTAAAATGTGTGTTTATGGAATTTGCCTAAAATGAATGAAACAGCAGGAAATTTTCTGCAATATATTCACAAAAATCATTGAAGGGAACAAATGCTTTCAACTTATTCTTAAAGTAAATACCAGAACATTTCTATGAGAACAAAAGAAATAAAAACTACAAGTATGCATGTTTATTGATTGATTCTGGGGATAAATATCTATATAAAATGTAAAATATGTCTGCAGGCAATAAGTAATCTTTTGCAGTTATAACAGTCTTCTGCAAAATGTGTGTCAAACTGTGTCTAAGTCATTGTAATAATATATACTAATTTTCATGAAAATAAGACCTTCATAATATTTTAGGATAAATTTAAAGAAATAAAATTGTAAGTGACAGCATAGTTCTGATTAGAATAAAAAGTTAAGTTACCTAATTAAATACAATACTGTAACATGGTAAAAAAAAAAAAAAAAAAAAAAAAAAAAAAGAAGAAGAAGAAGAAAAATTGGTGATATACAGTTTTACACTGATATACAGTACCCACTCATTATAAACTAACTAGTTAATAAACTCAGCTGCTTATTATATTCAGATTTCCAGAAACCAAAACCAATACTACTAAGCAATAGAAAAATCGCAATTTATAAAACTCATCTCAGCCACTTATCAAACGGAGATCAGCAAAAGATTGATTCTTCCATGACAAATCCACTTCAGTGCCCACTTAATTCCTACCAAAGTATTTTATAGTTCATAGTCTCAACTTTAGTTTCTTTTCCTGCAAATAAAACTTCTAACATTCAGTGCTTAGACCTGGAGATTATATAAGATTTTAAATATCATTACCAGAAAGATGTTCAGAAAATTAATTTTGTGCAAATGTCACTTCGAAGGAGATAAGTAAGTCAACATTTCTGCTAGAGGTCCTGCATATTATAGTCACTGCAGAGGGTTAATCTCTTAAAATTAGTTAAAAACTGTTTTTGAAAATGTGGCTTTTATGCAGAAGAAGCCTCAGAGGAATTTTGAATTACAGCTAATGTTTCAGACATCAATTTAGGTGAGTTAAGAACATTCGTTTTTAGAATATGTGCCAATTCACAACAACATTGAGACAATATGTGTAAAACTGACTATGAAAATGTTGAAAAAATTAAGAAACTGATAAAGTCTTTTGGGGGGGGGGGGACAAATGCCAGCGTGAATTGAATCTGGGAAAAAAAAAAAAAAAAAAAAAACAGCAAATTCTAAGAAATCTTTTAAACTGAAAAATGCTGATAAAAAAAAGCTACCAGAAATTGTGAATATAATTGAAAGCCCATTGTTGAACAATATGAAATGAGCAGAAATAGAATACAGTCAAAAGTCTTTAATCCAGACATCCGTAATCCGGAATGATCTATAATCCGGACCTCAAAGCTACAAACTTTCTGTGCATGCGTCAACGCATGCGCATAATACCTTTATGCATGCGCATATGCGTTTACGCATGCACGTCATTTAATGTATAATGGAAGGTATAAGCTAAGCTAAAATTATCTAATTGTCTATTTCAGTTAATGTTGCAGATTGCATTGTTCCTTAATCTTCTAATTGGATCCGGCTTATTATTTTTTGCAGACTGTTAGAGCAATTTTATAAAAGTAAGCTTGAACGATTATGCCAAAAAGAATTTCCGATTCTGGAGCTACCAAAGCATCTACAAAGCGAAAGCATGTTTCGATGTCCATCAAACAAAAAGTGGAATTGCTGCAAAAATTGATAAAGGCATATTGATTCTTTAACCATTCCGAAATCTGTTTATCAATTTTACATTGCTCTGCGGGGGAGGGGGGGACGTCACGGCATGCAATGAAATGGAAGTTGATCTGTCAACACTATCCTTATCTTAATGGCAGATGTTTTTATTTTATTCAGCTTATAATTCCTTACTAAATGTAGTATTTCATCTTGATGTACTCCGTCTTTGATATGATTTAAATCAAATTCCTCATCATTATAAATATCACGAATACACATCAAATAGTTTTCTGGTTGCAATTTTCTAATTTTGACTATGCATAATATATGCTTTACGCATGCGCGTTGAAAGAAATGTTTAATAAAGTAAACAAATAAATATTAAAGCTTTTTTTTCCAAAAAAATTTTTGATACCCTTTAAATCATAATTGCTCTTTATTTCATAAATTATGGTTTCATATTTTTAATTTTATAATTTCTGCATGCCATCTTACCAGATTTAAACTGATGATCTATAATCTGGAAAAACCGATAATCCGGAATCACTGAAGTCCCGACGAGTCCGGATTAAAGACTTTTGACTGTAGTTGTTTGCAAAAGATGAAACTTCATCAAGAATACAATTATAAAAATGTATTACAAGTGAATTTCAAAATTGTGCAACTAATTTCATTTTAACATAAATTTTTAATTATTATTATTATAAGATTAATTATTGAATTGGTTGTTAACTATTATTTTACTAGAAAAGTTTTAAATTAATACCATGATTTACAGTATAAAAACTACTGTCTATTACACTCAGATGCCTAATAAACTCAAATATGTTTGGAACAGAAGTGATTTTAATAAGTGTCAGGTACTGCATAGTTATTTGATATACTATATTTGTTTTCAAGCATATTAGTGACTAGTACGGTAAAATTATGACTAAATTAGGTGGTAATAGTTTATATACACAATATTTATGTGATTTATTTAGCATTTAAGCACTGTAAGTATTCTATAGAATATAATAAATTCTTTCTTCTAATTCTGTAATTTCATTTATCAAAATATCCCTATTAAAGTTTAGAACAAAAATGCAGCACAAAAAGAGGGTCTTACTTTCAAGCATTGCAGCTAATCTTGCGGGTCTCACATAATCAAGACAAACCCACAAATTTTATTGTGACAAGAAGTGCAAGATTGCTTCTGACAGTGGCATGAGCCTTGAATGCCACACAGCTGACATTTACCCATTCCCACTCTAGTTTTGAAGGAGAGAGAACCTTGGATGACAAGGTTTACCATCTAGTTTTCACATTTGTGATGCAGGTATACCGACAACACTACACTAACAGTGCAATTCCACCCTAATTTTAAGGTAGAACACCCCAGTGGTGGTCCAAGAGTCTCTTACCCCTCTTTTCCTCAACCACAAATTCACCCAAGAGGGCTTTTCAGATCACCATGCATTTTTGGGGCCCCATGCCCCACAAACACTATATATATTTACAGACTACCGAGTCTTCTCTAGGAATAAAATCTAGTCCCATCAGTACAGCAGTCATCATCACTAAACATTATACCATTCAGTGGGTTTATTTTCAAATAAGTATGGTAAGCATAAAAAACCGCAAACATAAACCTTATGAAACCACATATTTATAGTTATAAAAGGAATTATACACACAGTTATAAAAGGAGTTATACACACAGTTATAAAAGGAATTATACACACTGTTATAAAAGGAATTATACACACAGTTATAAAAGGAATATCTATAATCTATAAGAAGAACTCATAACCCAAAAAGCAAGAAATATGTTTATTACCTTATATTATCCACTCCTCTTAGCCAAAGCTGTTGAAATGTATAACATAAATTCAAAACTTGAAAAATTTGTTGTTTTAAATGAGTAAGTCGACGGTCCAAGAGGCATCTGTTATGCAAGGACTTCAAATATTCACTATGAGCCACAATCATATCATCAACTGTTTGAGAATTTTCTAATTTTTCTTTTATTTCTAGTCCAAAACTGTGCAGTATCTGAAACAGAAAGAAAAACTTGCATAAAATGCAAACATCACAACAATGAAAAAGGTAAGTTTAATTTCATATTGATATGACTGAGCAATCTTATGCTGGGAAGCAAAACTGGAAATTAATAATTGGGAAAGAGATATTCATATACTCATACACCCAAAATATTGAAAAATTAAATATTTAACTAAAATTAAATACATTAAACTCAAATGTTTGCATTTTTTTGTCATTCAAATCTTTCAATTATGGATTTTCATGGATCATTCGGGTTATGCCAAAGCACGCAAGAATTATCTGCATGAGGGAAAGTATGCTTTCATGGAGGATTTTTTAAGGCTATTAGACTTGTTTAACAGTACTAATGGGCAAACCCTTTGAATCATGACTTAAGAAACCTTTAAACATTTTAACTCAAACATTTTAGAAACAAGCGTTTTTATCAACATCCAAAAGAAGGATTCAGTTAATTGTGTTAGTTTGCTGTAGCTGTTATAACTGTCTAATCCTTCTGATCTGAACCTGTAGCCAGATCACATTCTATGAAATATCTTCACTAACTGGTTCTTTTTTAGACCGGACTTTTTTTGGGGGAAGAGGTTTGTTTTTCAACTAGGAAAAAAACAAAACTGCTTACACATCATATATGAGCACTTCCAAACAAACCGATTTTTTCTTATTGCAAAAATTTGTAACTGAGGTTACTTAGCTTTTGACAAGTATGAATAAAAGGTAGTCAAATCTTTAACCTCAACTATTTCAATAAAATTTGTATCACACTACAAATTAATTAGCTCCATTTGTAGATGTTCTGGGGCATTTACTCATACTCGTTACTAAGCCTACTGAAAATAATGTAAAATTGTACCCAAAATTATTTAAATTTCAAACCTTTCTCTTAATTCTTATCATAATAAATCTAATTAATTTATGGAAAATGTATCCACGGGGCCAACATGCAGCCCACAGGTTACCATTTGAGACTACTGATGTTTATGAAATATATTTGGAGTTACTTTTTTACTTGTTTTTCATGTGGATCATTTAATGGTGTAAGAATATTTTTATTCTGCACTCAAGATTTTTATGTGAAGCATAATAAGCTTAAGCACCATACATTTTACAAAGCATTCTGCATAAAGTTAATGTTTATGTTGAAATATTAAGTCATTTTGAATTACTTCATTGTAAATATTTTACAGTATTTAATTTGTTGCAAACATTTTACCTGTACCATGTACTAATGTTTTGCAAATGTACATGTGGGTTTTAGAGCTTAGGTACAGCAGGCACCACTTAATGGGACGACTATTTTTATAACATTAAACGATGAGGGGTAAAAAAAAAAAAAAAAAAAAAAAAAAAAAAACCTTCAAAACAGCAATGGACTTTAACTAATTTATTATAAATAGGTACTTTAACATTACTTTAATTAGGAAAAGGCTGATTTATGAACTAATGGAAATGTTCATTTAAAAACTCTTTGTAATATTCCTGGAAATTATTTGACCAATGCTTTACCCCTAATCTTAATATCTGGAGGACAGTCTTCATTAAAAGAGAACATCTCAATGCAAAATTAAAAATTAACCAAAAGCAGCTTAATTTATTATTAGTTTTACACTGTAATAATTGTTTTTATAACTTTTTTTTTATTTTTCAGAAGCAAGGAAAAGGAGGGGAGAATTTTTGAAAAACTTTTTTGCTCTAGGAAAACCTTAAACTTGATAAATTTTGAGACAATTGTTTGAGGTTTTTTGATTATTTGAAAATACTAATAATTTGCATTTAAAATGTATGCCAAACTATGGTTGTGATTTTGCTTAAATTTCAACGGCTGAAAATCAATACCAAGCTATTTGGTGACTTAATTAATCCCTTACTTGGCAACATTTCTCTGTCACTTAGGCGACTCTACTTACACTTAGTTTCAAAATATTTACTCTATAATATTTTCCTCCTATAAGCTGAATTGTTGATAATAAAAAGTGAAGTATTTTCTATGTTTTTGTACACACATGGGCAGAACATCGCCAATTAAATAACTATATCTGGATTATAACATTAACCGTGATCACATTAAATGGCTACTGTAATTAAGTTATTACTGTAATCAAATAGGATGTGGTGGTGTATAATGTGACATCTTGTTCAAGTGAATAAAGACACACAAGTTTCGCTGTATTTGCATTGTGTACAGTGAAAATAGAAACTCAAGCATAAATATACAATTAAGTTTAAAATTATATAATTAGTAAAAACTTACTCTTGTCATTATGTAGTTGTGCAGTCCATTCACAAAAAACATTAATCTCATGCGAATAATGTACATGCCATGAACTTTTTGCTGCCTGGGAAGGTCTACTTTTGCATACCTCTTCTTAAATGCAGGCCCACTCTCTTTTACAAAGGAAATTTCTATGAAAGAAGTTTGATAAGCTACAAGATGCATTACATCAAAATACAATGGAACTACAACACACTACATCAAACAATCAAAATACTATAAATTCAGTCGCATACTTTGCTTGCAAGGAATAACTGGGCTCCAGCCATATTTATTTTCATTAAATTCATTTTAATGACTAATTTCACGAAATTCACAACCAAATTTATTTTCATGAAAATGATTCATTAATTATGATGTATTTTAAATTAGTTACTTTCAAAGCAATATTTTAAAATTTTCTTTAGTAAACTTTTTCATTTACAATAATTTTAAATTTGATTAATAAATAAATAATAAGTAATAATATTCACTTGTAATAATATTCACTTGTAACTACAAAGTAGCTGTTATTTTTTTCTACTTTTACTCTATTTTAGTTACTAAATCAACATTCCACAAATGAAGTTGGAAAAAAGCATAAATACTGTGGCTTGCAATGTCTCAAAGTGGTAGCCCTCCAAGCAATTTTATGGGGCTTGTGAATACATTTCTATCATGTACACTCCAGTGCAAAAATAAGCAAATCTGCAAATTGTGTCAATTTTTATGAAAAGTATTTAAGCAAAAGCACTAATTATGCAAATATACAGAATTCAATACATAAGTGTACACATACATGTCTCCAGAGGTGTGATAGTACAGTGTTATAGTGTTTTTGTGGCATGGGACACTTAAAATACAGTGGAGCTAAAAGTCCTTTTGAGAGATCAATGGGATGGAAAGAGTGGTGGAGACCCTCAAGTCCATCACCCAGCAGCTTCTACTTCAAAAATGGAATGAGCTTTCATTTTCTTGCAAGGATAATTCAGTCATGCTCCGATGAGATGGCTCAATGACCATTACATTTTGACTATTTCTGATGAACACAACAAGTCACAAACGTCAAGCTATTTGGAGCGATATGGACCATGTTATTTGGTATAAGGTTTGAAGCATTAAATGAATTTGTGAAATTTATGGAACCCCAAAGCAGCAGAGAAGAAATGAATATTAATTTTTTCCAGCTGATATTTTAACAGAAAGTTGCAGTTTCAATTCTGAACAGTCTTCGTGCAACAACAATACAACAGATTTGGATAAAAAAATATTATAATATTAATTAAATAAATAAACAAATAAAATCTGAAAGGTTTTAAACTTTAATAGTGTGCCAAAAAGGTTTGTTAAGTTTTTTTACACTCTCACTGAGCTCACAATCTACCAGTCTGTTATACTCACTCCTACTAGCACCCACTTTTTTGTGCCTTTTTAGCTTTATTATAAAAGCACCATTTTCTTCACACTTACGCCATACATTACATTTTACATTTCAACAGCAAAATTACAAAAATTTTGAATGCAGTAGATGTTTAGAATCCCCATTGCATTGTTAAAGTGTTGGCATACAATTCTTTCCAAGTTTATCATATCAATGTTCATTTTTCTTACTAAGATGGCTTTACAATTTTTTTGTTTTGTTTTTTATTATTAAAATTTTGTGTGTTTACTTTATTATTAATTATTTATTAAATTATTAACTTTATTTATTAAATATCACGTTCTTGATGCTTATGCCTTATAAAATTCGATTCAAAAGCAAAATCACAATATTTATAAAAACAGCATTTCTTTACAACTTCTGATGGACCATCTCGCAGGCTGGAGATTAAAATGTCCCCTCCTCACATACAGTGCTGTCATTGCTCATTTTGAATCATCGAGTTTGTTAATAAAAAATTCATTAAAGTTTTACAAAATATGAAATAGATAATAAAACAAATTCAAAATTCAGGCTTTCAGGTGCCCATATTCGGTTGGAAGACTCTGTTATCCAAAATTTGATGGCTTTAGGTATCTTTGTTCCCCCCCCTCTACGGTGCGAGAAACATACACACATTTATGCAGATTCTTCATTATTTAATTTCTTTAAATGTGATATAGAGCGATAATATTTGATGGCAACAATTTGAAAAGTGATGCAACGCATTTAAGCATTTCAAGACTACTATCCCATTCAGGATTAAAGTCCCTTTTTGGCTAATTATGCACATTGTACACTTCCAGTGAATGAATATATTTTTGATAACTTACTGTACATACAGCTTTATTTAAAATTTTACATTTTTATAGCAAGTTAAATTGTTTTTTGCTGAATTACTTAGTTAAACCAATAACCTTTCATATTTTATTATTCACTTTCACCAAATTCTGAACTTGCTTAGTCATCGAATTTTTACCGCATGTGCATTAACTGAATACAAAAAGTAACAAAAGACTTACTTGATGAATACAGTTTATCTAGAAGATACTTTGCACACTTTATTTGCAGTAAAAAGGAAAAAATCTCATTGTACTGGTTCTGTAAATGAGAACCTAACATAATTGTAACAGGCCATTCCACCTGCAAAAAACAATATAATTCAATAAAATAATTAAGAGGAAAACTTTCAATCATTTAGCATATAGTCATGCAATTTACAGATTAATATTTACTTCATATGACAACTGAAGAGCATTCAAATAACTCAGTGGCTGTGTTGCATTCAAGTCAGCATTTTGAGAATCTAAAAATATAAATAACCTGAAAACAAAATCATATTAACTGTAATATTAGTTTTCAACTCATCAATTTATTGCATAGAAGAGAGGAAAGTTACTTGATATGAAATTTTATACCATGCTATCTTAATTGAACAATAAACAAAAGAATAAGCATACATAACACTGACTGCCTGTGCAGACAAGTAATGATAAGCAACAGGAATTAGCATAACACGATTTAATCTCAGCATTACAATTTCAAATGTTAAACAGAATCTTCTTTTTCAGCTGTGAAAGAAAATATGATAAAAAAAAACATATCCTTATACGAAAACAATTAGAAAAATTTTAGAATGTTTAAACTGAAGGTAGAAAGACCCCTGTACCATCTATCAATTGAAAAATGATGTCTCAATTGTTGAACAAACAAAGTTATTTTTTAGGAGGTAAGAGTTAACTTTATCACGTTAAGCATTTCCTTCAGACATACTTAGAATTAATTACCTGTGCTACCTGACTCTGTTCAGAGAGCTAAATAGTGCCAGTACGGTTGCAGGAACAAAACGCACTAAGAATGCTTAATAATTTTTACATTTGCTATTAATCGATTACTTTGAGATTAATAGTCTTTCAAGTTCCTAATTATTGACAGATTCCTTTAAAACTCTTGCAGTAATTCAATCACTCTATAATTTCACATGAATATTTCATATTTTGTGACTTAACTGATATTATTATTTACATACAATTTCTACAGTTATTGTTTACCATAAACCTCACTTCTAAATAAACATAAAGAATGCACATTAATTGCCATATTTAAATATTCAAGGTTATTTTTAGTAGCAAAGCTTGAGTTGCATTTGACATCATGGAATCCAAAAGTAATGTCTAAAAATAGTAACAAAGAGGAACGAAGGTTTGAAATGCCGACCGGTAGTAAATAACTTACAGACCTGTATAGGATGCAAAAGTGCATTCAACCCTAACAGTACTAGAAAACATAGCTATCAGTAAAATTTAAAAACATTTAAAATTAGCATAACATTGTCATAAAATAGGTTAATTATAAATAAAAAACAAATGTTATTACATACTTTTCACAATTTCCTTTATCTTCTTCCACAGCATTTTGCAAGGCACTGTATAAGAATGAAACGTCTTGCCATGGCAGATGGTAAAATATCTGTTGGAAAAAGGATGCATCCAAGTGAATGCAAATGTATTAAATACGATTACAGTAATATATTTATGCAATCACTAATGCAAAAGTACACAATCTGTGTTTTTATATTCTGCGCCACAAATTTTACAAAACTGTTTAAAAAGAGATACATTTATCCTGCTCAAGTGAATATACAAGATATGTTCAAATACAAAAAAGGAATTTTCTGTTTCTGTTCCATATAATCATGATCCACTGAGTAAACACAAGTTTAAATTTGTCAACAATAGTGCTAGCTTCTTGTCATGTTAATTATAATGAATATGTTAGAAAAGGAAATGTATAATGGTTATGCAACTAATCATCATTAGATTTTTGACTTATAAAGATGTCATTTTGTTTCAGATTTAGCTTATACAAGACTTACCAATCAATTTGAAGCTGTCTTTATCAATATAGAATGTTTAATTAGTGCAAGTATTTTAAATGCCAAGACAATACTTATCAAAATTCAAAATTAGACAGAAAAGTCAAAATGAACCACAAATCTAATGAACAAGTTATGCAAGAATAGGTCAAGATGCAGTGAAAAAAACTTTTATTTTTCTAGATTATAAAGTCCCCAGACACTAGAACAAGTGCTAGTGACTATGCAGAAAAACAGAATACAGTCATTTAACTGTATTCAGTAAATAATGTTTACCTGATGAAATTATTTACATTTCAATGTCCCTCATATTATATAATTATATGCTGGTCAGGCACAGATTGGAATAGTTAAGCATTCTATAAATCATGGGTAAGAGTTAGTACAATAAGTTACGACAATGTATAGTCATAAATGTTAACAATAAATATATCTGAAACAAATTATAAATTTATTACACATCGAAAAAATGCACTTTTTGAAAAAATTTAATGGCTTGTTAGTATTGCTTTTAATTAGTTGGGAATTATATTATATGGATAATAACTGGTTATTTCGACTGTAGTAAATTTACAAAATTTGTATTTTTAACAGTTTTATAACAATTGGAGGGGCTAATTCTTACTACTAATTACTTCAACTAACTCTTACACTTTACTGTAACCTAAAAGCTATTATACAAGTTATAATTAAATTAGTTTTATTCTATTTTACAGCATCTGTGGGGGTCAGATTAAATTATTAACAGAATTACCACTCTAATGAACTTGGCATAGAAACAAAATGAGAAGTCTCTTGAACACAAATTGATAAGCATTTCCTTATCAGTACTAAAATCTGGATTGACTTACTACCAAAGCTAATGTCTAATAATTCTTATTCTGTCGAGCTGCAGCATTTGCTAAATAACAAGCAAATGTGATGGACATTTTTTACACAGCCAAACATAGATCTAATAATTTTTTCCTCAATTTATAGTAAGCCGCTTGGAATCAAAAGTAATAATCAGGTAATCAAATCTGTACAATAAATAATAATCTCTATACAGATCTCTAGAATAAGTGAGTACATGACAACATGCAGTACAAAGAAAAGATGGAAATTAAAAATAAAACTGGTTAATTCAACTCAACTAATTTTCATTTTTTGCATCAAAGAATCTCTGGAAATGCAATTTGTGATAATTTATCCCTATTTACAGCTGATATAAGCAAGCCTGCCATTGCAGAGAATGTAAACAAACCAGCAACAAAGCACACTTAAGTTAGAATTCGGTTCCGAAAAATCAAAGACAAATAAATTCTTTATATATGTGATTCACATAAACTCTAAATTAATTTAAAAAGGCAGCAGAATTTATATACAAAAGAGGAATTTACCAAACACAAAAAATTTTCACATTCACGATCCATGTTTACACAAAGAGAGTACAGACATGCATGAAGAAAATGCAAATAACTTTAATAATAAAATTCACTTGCTTCTTTCATCAAAATACTTTATACTTATAGCATATTTTTGTTAAAATTTATATGCATGCACACACACACACACACATGCACATACATATATATATATATTATAAAAAATGCCATTAAATTTACCATGTTGAATTTTCTGATGATAAAAAATTTTATCCGTTTACATTTAAAAGTAAGCACAGATTTTCTTCAGTTGCTGGATTTCTACTGTGCATTAACTTATGCAAATTTTAATGTAAAAAAAATTATAGAAAACAATCTTTCTTAAATGCTTCTGAGTACCTTTTCAAAGACTTCTGAATAGAAACTGAACATCAGATCTCCAGACTCCATCAAAAAATATTTCTGGAAAATAGAATTTGATTTTTATTTTATTTTATTTTTTTTTTCATTATAGTGGTAGCAAAAATAAAGAAATAAATTTTAATCCAACAGTGAATTGCTTCATATTACCTGCATAATATTCATATGAGTCATCAGATTATGGTCATCCTTCAAAGTCTTCACCAGTCTACGGCATGTAGGGTAATATGCAAATTGCATGCAAATATCAAAGGCTTTCAAAATGTTTAAGCTCAGAGATTTCTGGCTATTGGGCTTTAAATTGTGAATAATTCTATAAAAATACATACAACACATATAGAGAGAGAGAGAGGCATACACACACAAATTTATAAAATTCATATTTTAGCAGCAACATTCTTACTTTCTAGACACTTTTTGAAATTTTGATACTTTAAAAGTTTGCAGTTATAGCAAATGTTATGTTTCACTGAAAGCAAAGCTTTACATAAAAACTACATAAGAATTTAATGATGAAAAGAATATAAAAAGTAGGGTTTATATATTTACAGTAAAAAAAAAAAAAAAAAAAAAAAGTTTATCTTTGTTCATGCAAACATAAGTGAATGAGTTAGAAACTGGCTGAATGGCATCCTGCACAGATTATTATAGTTAATTTTATCTAAAAATCAAATCATTGCAGACAATTAGTGATACATCATGTTATAATGTGTCAATTTGTGTTACTATATTTCTTCTCCGGTGGGAGGCAATCAAATGATAGTATACTAGGGTTACTAGACATCCAGATACAAGCATTTCAAATTTATGGAACTTAGAAGTTATAGGGATTAGGGATCCTGCAGAGTAGAGGTAAATGAATGAAATTAAGCACAATAAGATATAACATTTTCAAGACACTGTATCCATAAAATATGATGGCATGGTAGTGGCAGTGGATATTTTTTGCACATGGCCTAAAAAGTTACACGCACCTTCAAAAAAATAAGGCACAATGGAAGATAGTTCCCATGCCATGAAAAAAAAGAGGTTCACCATCCTATATATAACAATTATCAGTTGGGAAAACATGGTTGTCTTTCAGAATATCAACAGGTATTTGAAGAATGGTAAATAGAAGGTACAAATGAAATAATTTCAGAATCTAAGCATTTTTTACTTGGATATTATCTTCATTATCGTCATATCTTGAAGGAAAATAGTATAACTATGATCAGACCTGTTTGTAATGAAGGTTTCCCCAAGGCCTTTCAGTGAATGATTGTTTGGAAACTAGAATAAACTTAGTGCAATGCATATCCTCTACGCTGGTAAGGTTTCAGCATGGGAAAATTGGTTTAAGACATAAAAACAGCATTTTTGCAGATGAGTATATATGAAGGAGATAACTATTACCCCCATTTTTCGTGGTTTCACATAGAAGGAAATTCGCAAATTATTTTATCTTAATCAAGCAATCCTTGTCACTACTTGCAGTCATTTTCTATTACGAGCAGTTACTAACCATCACTTGACGAAGGAACTTGAGCTTATTGAACAGAGTGAAAGGAATTGGTCATGTTCTGTCATTCAAAAACTCACAGTTACGTTGATAACTGCATTATCAGTATAGAAGACATATTTGAAAACAGTGAACTTGAAGCCTTTACAAGAAAAGCAACTAAGATTATGAAAGATTGATTTGAGATGTTGGGAATTATACAGACACTTGTTTATTTGAAACTGACAAATCAAACATTTAAGACTATTATGGAACAGAGAAGCTAATACTCTAGATCAGCATTTCTCAACCGATAATATGCAAGAGAAAAATAGGTGGTATGCAAAGAAACAAAGTATTTTTAACTATTATATTCAAAAATTAAATACACTGACATCCTATTTAAGTTCTTCTTCTAACACTCATAAATTTATGTGCTATGAGCTTTGTTCAAGGTCAATAGCTGCTCATAAACTTAAAATAATCCATTTTTATTTTCACAAATATTCTTTTAATCATAGATGCAACAAAATTTGTCATAAATAATATTTTTAAATGGAGTAATGGGAATGGATATTGTGTTTAACAGGAAATAAGTTACTATAAAAAGAAAATAGTATCTCCTTAATTCTTTTAGAGTTGATCAATTTATTAACACGTCTACACTTTATGTCATTACCATTTCCAGGCTTACATTGTTCTATTTTCAAGTAGAATCATTTCTATATCGATTTGCTGTCTCTAACAGCATGTATTTTATCCTTTTGTTGCATTGTATTCCTTACTTTTCTATACGATTTGAGAATACAGTCGTTTGTTTTTGAAGAACTTGTAATATATAGTGCATTTAAATATTTGTGAAAAAATAATAAAACAAGCCTACACTTTCAAAATGGAAAAATGGCTAGGACTGAGTGGAAAAGTGAAGATTCACAGGACAATCTACTAGCACTAAGAATATTGGAGAGAAAAGAAAAATTGTTTATGGTAAAAATAATGAAAGTTATTTATCATTTGGGTTTACTTGGAATGGAGATGAAATGAACCGTCAACCTCAATTGTTGTTTGTGGTGAACTATTATCCAATCAAAGTATGAAACCATTGCTTTTTAAAAAACATCTTGAATCCAAGCATGCGAATTTAAAGAATAAATCTGAAGAATATTTAATAGAGAATTACTGAAATTCAAAAATAGTAAACAAGAGATGAAAGGTTTTGTTACTTCAAGTGAAAAAGGCATTGGAAAAATTGCCAAAACTGGGTAGGCTCACGCTATTGGATAAAACATTATATTATCAGCAGCTAAAGATATCGTTTTAACATTATTCACCAAAAAAGTGGCTAATGAACTTAATAATGTTCCATTATCAAATGGTACAGCAAGTCGACGAATTCATGAAATGGTGAATTCCATAAAAGAGACACTTATTCAAAAAATAAAACACAGTGAGTATTTTGTATTGCAATTGGATGAAAATACTGATATAATGAACTGTGTTTAATTATTAGTTTACATGTGTTTCAAAGAAGCTAATAAATTGCTGAAGAGTATTTATTTTGTGAATGTCTTCATGATAGAGAAACTGCAAATGAAATTTTCAAAGTAATTACAATTTTATCTCTCAAAATGATATTCCTTGGAATAAGTGCCATATGCAATGACGGAGCTTGGGCTTTAACATGAAAACATTCCAGTATTATTTTTCAAATAAAGAAAGTCACACTTGGAACTAAATTTACTCACTGCTTCATTCATCGTTATAATTTAGTAGCTAAAATAATCCCCAAAAATTTAAAAACCACTTTGAATCATGCTGTGAAAATTGTTAATTTAATAAAAACCGAGCTTTAAATTCAAGAATATTTATGAATTTATACCAAGAGATGGGCAGTGAACATGAAATGCTTTGGTTATGTTCTGAAGTAATGTGGTTAATCCAAAGTTCTAAATTGTCTTTTTGAACTTCGATCAGAAATTCAAATTTTCCTCTGTGATTCAAAATTTGAATTGCAAAAATATTTATTTAGTGAATTACAATTGGCACATTTAGCATGTTCAGCTGATATTTTTGGAATGTTAAATGAATTGTAAGGATAAAAAAACTCGATCAAATAATCAAAGAATTGGATAATATTTAAGCTTTTTATCACTTTTAGAAATTTTCTAACTGAAAATAATTTGAAAATAAAAGAAGAATTAGCATCTGACATTTAAAGTCTTTTTTTTTTTTTTTTTTTTTTTTTTCCATTGATGTTTAATTTCAACATGTATTTTTTCAAGGATTATGAAAAAGAAAATTAAGATTAGAAATCTATTTTGTTCAAATGTACCTGAAATTTTATCTCTTGAAGAAAAAAGAATGATTGATAGAAAATCCATGTGATCGAACTCTAAATGAAGATTTCAAAAATAATACACTTGTTAACTTTTGGCTGAACCGAAAAAATAATTTAAAGACATTCCAAACAAAGCTATCAAATTTTTATTGCCATTTTGCAAATCCTATTTGTGTGAACAAGGATTTTCTTCCACATTCTATTTGAAAAATACAGAACAAAATTAAAAGTGGGTCCTAACTTACTGTTAAAACTGAGTGAAATAAGAACAGATATAAAGAAATTTATCTCTTTAAAAGGCCCATATTTCAAACTAAATTTTAGAATTAAAATATTATAACATGAATTCTGATAATTAAAATGGTAACCAATTTTTAATCTAATACTTTTAGGTGTGCATACTTAACACAAATAGCCAACACATTGTTCAAATGACAAGATATATTTTTTGTAATATTTCTATTGAGAAATTAAAAAATAATCATTGAAATATGTAGTGGTGGTACTAATGTTTTTCAGTTTTTATTTAGATGGTACGAGTTAGCCAAAAGGTCGAGAAATGCTGCTCTAGATATTCGTCAAGAAGGATGAAAGAATCTTCCTGATTTTTATCTCTATTATTTATGTTTAAATAGTCATTACTTTTCTTCTAAAGTATATTTTAAGATAATTATCACATCATCAAATACTTAAAAAAAGGGGGGGGAAAGAGGAAGAAGAAAATCTGAAAGGATTTTATATTTTAATGCTGCACAAGAGGGTTTGCTAAGCTTTCTTGTGCTTTAATTGAGCTCATGGTTTATCTGTCTGGCCTTGGACTCACTCCTGCCAATCCTGGCAAGGCATTTTTTTGTCTTTTTCACTTTTATGATCCCTGATATGACAGTTATGATCCTTGATATGTTTAATAATAAATAATGTTTTAAATTTAATAAATAATGTTTAATAATAGACATCACTTTCTTAATTACTTATGTCATTAAGACACAATAACACGCCGAATAAATACTAATTCATTCAGAAGTCAAACAAAAACAAAAAAATCAGCGTTATATTTTAAAAAAATTTCACAGGACTAGTTTCGATGGTTTTTACCGAACCGAACCATCATCTTCAGCTGCAAAACTGCAAATGAACAAGATAGGAAATAATGTTTAGATAAGATAAGAAAGCCTGGACAAGAATAAGCAAGCAGTGGCGCCATCTGTTGGCGAAACCAGAACTAAAACATAATTTCTCTAAAAGCCGAAGGCAATTTGGATTGGAATTAGGATCGTTAACTAGACAGAAAGATTTTTTATGAATGAATGTGAAATGCCTCTAGAAAATCCAGTTCTCCAATGGAAGATGTTTTTTGAATAATTTTGGCAGCAGAAAAATTGAAAGTGTGATTTTCGGACCAACAATGCTGAGCAACAGAAGACTTCTGTGTTTTCCTTTTTTCTAACATATGCCTCATGTTCTTTGACGCGAAATTTTAAGGCTCTCTTAGTTT